TCCTTCATCAAGTCTGAAGAAAGAAGTTAAAAAGGCAAACAACACTAAAAACATGGAGTTGTATTTAAAGACTTAAAGAAAATTAAAAAATTATAAAGAAATGCACCTTTATACTAAAAAATTTAGTGTGTAGGGGTATTAATACTTTAAAAATTGCTGATAAAATAAATAATATGTAATATATCTTTTACTGTATCTCCTTTGGAATTAATGGTAGAATTAATTCTGTCTACAGAGGTCTTTTTACCTCAGATCTACTTAGTGGAGTTCTTTTTTCTTTTTTTTTCAATTTTATTATGGGATTAAGAATTTTAGTATGGGATTCATTATACCAGATGAATACATAGTATTATTGCAGAAAAATCTTTTAATCTTTACAAATTCCAACTAATGAAGTTGGAGTTGGTTACTGAGTGAAGGCTAGCCAACAGAGCAATATGAGCTCTTCTTTATCAGTGAGATGGAATTAGTTTACATCCACGACAGCATTTCTTTCTTTCTTTCTTCTTTTAACATTTATAGCTTCAACTTTGATTTTAGAGTCACAGGGTACATGTGTGGGTTTGTTACAAGGGTAGACTGCATGGTACTGAGTTTTGGGGTATGACTGATCCCATCACCCAAGTACTGAGCACAGTACCCAATAGTTTTTCAGCTCTTGATAGCCTTCCTCTCTAGTAGCTCCCAGTGTCTACTGTTGGAATTTTTATGACCATGTCTACTCACTGTTTAGCTCCCACTTATTAGTGAGAAAGTACAGTATTTGATTTTCTGTGCCTGTGTTAAATTCACTTAGGAAAATAGCCTCCAGCTGCATCCATGTTGCTATAAAGTACATGATTTTGTTATTTTCCATGGCTGCATGGTATTCCATAATATATTTATATCATATTTTTAAAATCCAATCCACTACTGATGGGCACCTACATTGATTCCACATCTCTGCTATTGTGGATAGTGCTGCAGTGAATATACATTGCATGTGTCTTTTCGGTAGAACAGTTTATTTTCCTTTGGGTATATACCCAGCAATGGGATTGCTGGGTCGAAAGGCAGTTCTTGGAAAAATCTCCAAACTGCTTTCCACAGTTACTCAACTAATTTATATTCCCACCAGCAGTGTATAAGTGTTCCCTTTTCTCTGCAGCCTCACTGGCATCTATACTTCATAGAGAAAATGAAAAAGAAGAGTGGCCAGAAATGTTCCCACAGATGTAGGCCCTTGTACTATCAACTTCCTTGCCTTTTTAAAAAGTAGAACATCTGCAACATAATGTAACCTTTCATTGATGAGTTAGGGTCATTAATGTAAAGGTAAATTATTCTAAAAAGCTGATGATGCTGATGAAAATGCAGACTATAACTGAATTAGGGATTCCAACTTACTAGCTATATGATATTGGGTAAGTTGTTTGATTTATCTCAGACTATTTTCATATTTGTAAAATAAAGATAATAACCAACCTATGAAAAATGATGGTAAAATAATACAAACTAAAATCACTTTATAAACAAAAGCCATTTTCTTCCCAGCATTAACAAGCAATATATTAAATTTGGCCATTTACAGATTTACTTGTCATTTAACAGCATTTGAATTTTCTCATGGCTGATACTCAGACTTCTGAGTGTGCTTCTTTGCTGCCAAAAGCTTCTCTATTTTTAGCTGCTTCTAGACTTGGAACTCTTATAAAATCCCAATGGAAACTCAGGTTTCGCTATCCAGTTTCATCCCATGACTTGCAATATATTAGTAACAATAAAACTCTTCCTAAACATGTCAACATTTTGACTGTATCATACAAAGGTGATAGGAATAGTCAGAATGTAGACTAGGAGTCACACTCTTAAACACAGCCACAAGGTTAAAGTTTCAAAAGAAGGAAGAAGTATTCACTATGTGCTTGACATATGATACATTATTAACACAAATTCTATAGTACCAGTGTTAAACAAACATTTATTTATTACTAGGAAATCACAGTCAGTCTTTGAATTTTAGAAAATGACCTAACAAGGTCTAGAACATTAATTTCATTATAATTTGTCAAATTTTTCTACAGAAATGTAACAGTAACTCTAATATTCAGATTTAATTTACCTATGACAGCAAGGGAGCATTTATGGAAAATTCTTTCTAATAAATGCATACATAAAATTTCTAATATCCTACATATTTTGACAAAATTTACTTAAATTCAAACTTTTTGTTAGTTTTTCTCGTAACTTGCTAATTAAAAAATAATACTGATTAGAAATTCATAAGGATCACAGTTTAATTAGATAAATGGCACCTAGATTTTCTTTATTATAATTTATCCTTCAGTTCCGTTTACAGAAAGTTTTTGTGTTGGGCACAGAGGCTCATGTCTGTAATCCTAGCACTCTGGGAGGCCTAGGCAGGCGATGACCTGAGGTCAGGAGTTCGAGACCAGTCTGACCAACATGGAGAGACCCTGTCTCTACTAAAAGTACAAAATTAGCCGGCCGTGGTGGTGCATGCCTGTAATCCCAGCTGCTAGGGGTGCCAAGGCAGGAGAATCGCTTGAACCTGGGAGGTAGAGGTTGCAGAGATCACACCACGGAACTCCGGCCTGGGCAATGAGAGTAAAACTCCGTCTCAAAAAAAAAAAAAAGTTTTTCAGTTTCCAACTAAAGATTTGGAGAATAAGACATCTTTTCCATCTTACTTTACAAATGAAATTTAAAAAACAATTTCTAAAAATAGAATCATATTTTATTATTGATTTAAGAATATACTATTGGAACAATGTCTCTTTGCCTTTCTTCTCTCATAAAAAATAGAACATGACAAAAAACAGCAACTGACTAGCAATGGGATGGCTACAGGAATAAAGCCGAGGGTTTATTTTAGTCTTCAGTGACAAAGAGGTAACACTTAATCTATGATCATGTTGTGTAGAGTCACTCACTTCCTCTACAAAATGTCATTAGATCTCTTTTTTATTTAACAGAATTTAACAGATTAATTAATGACAAATTAGGCCTTTAGTTTAAAATGAAAAACAAATAGAAACCAAAACAACCCTCTTCTCAAGCCAAAAGTCACAAAACAAGTTAACAAACCATGGCTAATCCCTACCTGATTTTCAAAATCTGCAGGAAAAAGGAGAGAGAATTCTCCAGGTGGCAACCCTTCAAATAAGAAACTCCAGCACTAATTCTCAGTAACATCATAGTCTTGAAATCAGTAAAAAACTATAACCTACTTTTTCAATGAAAGAGGATTCATGTAAGAAGAACAATGCCCCATGCCCTTCTATGTCTTTCCACATATTCTATGTGTCAAAGAATACCTTATGCTGGATTCTCCCAGACATACAACTCCTTTTAAAGCTAGGGCTACTTCTCATCTGTGATGGAATGAACATTGAGATGAACTGAAATCTATCCTTCAATTCTCATCTATCCCAAAAGAACAGAAAAGAAACACTGAGTTTTAAACAACTGCTTTCATAATGGTATCAAGACTTTTATTAAAAAGTACAACTACCTTTAGTACTTATTTTTCCTGCAGAGATAAAGTTCACTGCTGAGATAGCAGCTGATACCATCTGTACTGCCGAATGGCAAAAAAATGGTTAACAAAACAGTGTTGCTAAATAACTTTCATAGTAAAATAGAAATTATTTAGATACTCTAAGGATGAGTAATCACAGGATTTAATGATTTAAAATGTAATTTCATATTCTTCTGAATAGAGCCAATGTCTAATAAAATAATTTTACAGTTCTTTGTTTTTATGTGACACTATGCTTTTAAAAGGAATAACACACTCCATTCAGAAGTTTGTTTTGGTTATATCAGATTTGTTTCACACACATAGGTTATAAGTATATATTAAACCCTGCATAACAGAGCATGATGATCGTGTCCTTGGAAAATTCTACAAACATGATGAAGGGCCATTCTAATTTCAAATCAACATGCTTAGGAAAGTTAAGTACAGACTTTCCATACTTTTCTAAAAATAGTTTAGGGACACTCACTAGTGATACATTTTCTCTAAATATCAGATTTCCAGACAACACTGTTTAGTGTTAAAAGCAATCATAGGACTGACTTTTTCTGGGGAATTTGTTTTGTATCATGAGCCTGGTTTTTAATATGGAGCTGAATCATTAATTAATGCTCAGAAAAATAATGTAAAAGGGAAGAAAGAATAAGGGCCAAGGAATACAATTGTGAGATAAATAAAACAATAAGGTATTAATTTGGTAATAGTCATATTTATGGCATCTGCCAAGATTCAAGCTAATTATGAGTTTAACTATATTGGTTTGTCCACTGTTAACTCCTATTTCAAAAATTAAAGTAACTGCAGTATCAAAAATCACTGCTAATGCAATAAATGTACTCACAGTTTACACATACAAATAGTATCAATAGTTATGGTGGAATTTCCAATGTCATTACAAACCAAGCAACAATAATGTAACAACATTTACTAAAAGTAAAATCAGTAAGCCATGAGCATCTTTCTAAGTGATTCATTTACTTTTACCTTATTTAATCTTTACTCTAACTCCACGACAAAGGTACAATTATTACGCTTATTTTATACATGAAGAGTTTGACTGCTATGACCAAGGTCACACAGATGGTAAGCGGTTACATTGAGATCAAAGCCTAGGGCCAGCTTTTAACCACCAGCACCCTCCATCTCCAAATGTAATTGGGTCATTTGCATATAAAAACTTTTGACCTTTCAAAGAGATTAAGTTTTATTGTGTGAAAAGTAACTTTTTACTGAATGTTCATTATTGTTTTACAGATAATGAATCTGTGAAAAAGAACAGGTATTCTAAGCAGTTGGGAGAAGCACAGGGACCACATTAAAAAACAGAAACTGAGCTCATCATGTTCCTTATTTAACAGACTATAACATATTTAGGTACTATTCAGTTGCAAAATGCCATGGTTTGCAAATATTTCTGACATAGCTTATAAATATTTCTCACTTGATTTAATTTCCTTACCTTCCAGATGTGTTCTTTAGTATGACCAGAGCGTCTGGATAGCCGTCCATATTGTAGTCTCCAATATGAAGGGTGATTGGAATTGGTATTTCAGTTGGTTGCTGTTCATGTACAAATGGCACAAAGCCCCAGAGTGTGCCCTTATTGCTGAAATCTTGTAGGACTGGAATCCACTACGGATTAAGAGAAAAAGGTCAGACTTTATAGTTATTTTATAAAACAATTTACAATTTGCAAAACCAAAGATCCATTAAGTTTTCAAGATAAATATTATTTTACTTAACTTCTTTATCTCTACAATATGGGAGGGTATCATAATTTACTCTGATGAATAGGTGACAATAAAAAAGTAGTCTCCGTTAGAATTTATCACTAGTTATTTTTGCCTGAACTGGCACAGAAAGCCTTAGAAATTTTACAATATCATACGAATCTTAGGATTGAACGGATATTAATACACATCTAGTTAGATTACATAATTTAAAACTGTATCACGTAGAAACACAACCTCAAATGAATATTTAAAAAAAACTAGAGCAAACTGTAATATCATCTAATAACTGATATCCTTTCCGGAGAACCAACGTAGGAGGAAAGTTAGAACATGAAAGAGACCCCATTGTTCCTTCTGCTGTGCCTCTTATACACGCAGATGACTTCAGTCATTACCTTCCAGCCGAACAGCTCCTGAGGCTTTTCAAACAACACCAGGCCTGACAGGCTTCCTCAGTAACTGACAGGCACTTCTCAGCTAAGAAGAACGAGCTCTGACACTAGAATGGCCGGAGCTACATTTTTAGTAAATTCTTTTATTTCTATATTAATGATCATGAAGAGAACAGAAAGAATAGGCTGATTTCAAAATGAGCTTTGGAAATCCCTTTCTCTTCAGATAACATAAATCTTCACTTTTTAATAACTAGAAATCTGAAGAGTAGAAACCATGCCATTAAAGTTACAGATGCGCCCACAGTTTGCTGAGTATGAATGCTGGCATGGAACCTGAAGATGGTCGAGCTGACTTGAGCTGGCAGGAGGCCAAACATGCCTAGAGATTCCTTTTCTTTCCTTCTAAGCAGGTGACTCATTTATATGGCTGCAAGTCAAATTATATTAAAGATGGTTTCTTGAAAAGAGGTTAATAAACAGGGTATCTCCAATAATTTATATCTTTTCAAAAAAAGTATACTTTACCAGGGAAAAAGAAAACTTGATGAAGACATATTTACAGAAATGAGTTAAAAAAATTGGTATGCATCTTCAATAATTTTTCAATTTTTCTTTAAACAAAACTATCATTTTATGTATCATCAAAATGTTTTAATAGTTTCAATTGATTTTAAAAAATTGGTGGGTTTTATCTTAGCAGATGAGAAATTTCACAAAATGCCATGTTATCACAAATTTCTGAAGAGGTTGACAAAGGATAAACCACATTAAATAAAATATTCCTGTTAAGGTAAATGTATTAAGGCCTAAAGAGTAAAAAGATATTTCACTTAATATGACACGGATAATAGTCACCAAAGAACTGTGACATTTATCTTCCCAGAGAAAGATGACTGCATAATTTGAAAATATTCTTACAGTAGTCTGTTGATGGGCAATAATTCATAGGTTTACTAATATCTATGAACCAATGATCAAGTGTTACTTGACCTAAAGTTTTAAGTGATTCAAAACTTTTTAAAAAGTTCAAGATAAAACGTATAATAGTTAAATGCTTTCATTTATTTTATGTTTAAGGCTAGTCAAGTGAAACAGTGGGGGTGGAGAAGAAACAAGGAAATCTGTAACTGGCTGTGATTACTTAACACCACTGTACGCAGACCGGCCAGTTAAATGCTTTCAGAATGAAGATTTGTTTTCACATAAAATGTGATGCTTCCTTTCCATAAGGGTTATAAAAGTCAACATGTTATTCTATCATTTATTACCCTCCAAAAGAAAATAAAACATTAATTCTAATATGATTGTTATAACCTATCATTCCCATATTAATCCTCCTTTGTGACTATCAGATTTTAAATTGCTTACCTATAAGCTACAGGTAAAAGTCAGCATGAGATAATAAAACAGGTTTAGATAACACAAAAACAAGATCAGCTTTGAAAATAGATAAAATGTTCTTTTATGTAACCTTTTATTATACTTTTTAATATAAGAATGAGTTTTCTTCACGAGAAATAATTGTAACAATACTTTTCTCCTCAACAAATTAAAAAAAAATAGATTTAAATGCATTTCATTAAGTTAAAATGAAGAGGTCAGTAACTTAATTTTGGGGTTCCCTCTGATTGACTGTACAGGTATCTTTTCCAACTTTTGAAGATTTTTTTTCAAGCACATAAAAAAATGTTTACATTAAAAAACAACTTGATATACCTGCTTTGTCCCGGATCTCACTAAGTAGATGGTACTTTTGTGGCAATTTTTATCTTCACAGCCTGGGAGTAAATGATCCATGTGTCCATCTCCATCTGCCAAAAGAAACTTCAAGAGTCCATTAATAGTCACAAAATAAAGTGTTCTTGTATGGCACAGTAAATTTATTATCTGTTGAAAGTCTACATAAATCTGGATACAACAGAAGAATTTGACACATGGCTTCAAAATGAATATGATTCTATTTAAAAAATTACTCTGGCCCTTGCAACGTTATTATCTGAACTGTGTCTTGTTCTAAATTGCACACTTCTGTGTGATTAAACATTTACAAAGGAGGGAGGAGGGCAAGTGCTGAAAACTACAGGGTCCTAAGCTCAGTACTTCGGTAGTGAGTCATACCACAACCATCAGCATCATACGATATACCCATGTAACAAACCTGCACACAGACTCTTTGAATTTAAAATAAAGTTGAAATTATAAAAAGGAAAATGGGTTGGGCGTGGTGGCTCAGGCCTGTAATCCCAGCACTTTGGGAGGTTGAGGTGGGCGGATCACGTGGTCAAGAGATCCAGACCATCCTGGCCAACATGGTGAAACCCCATCTCTACTAAAAACACAAAATTAGCTGAGCGTGGTGGCATGCGCCTGTAGTCCCAGCTACTCGGGAGGCTGAGGCAGGAGAACTGCTTGAAGCCGGGAGGCGGAGGTTGCAGTGAGCCAAGAGCGGTGGCTGATGCCTGGAATCCCAGCACTGTAGAAGGCCGATGTGGGCGGGTGACCCGAGGTCGGGAGTTCAACACCAGCCTGACCAAATGGAGAAACAACGTCACTACTAAAAACACAAAAAATTAGCCGGGCGGGGTGGTGCATGCCTGTAATCCCAGCTACTCGGGAGGCTGAGGCAGGAGAATCGCTTGAACTTGGGAGAGGGATTTGTGGTAAGCCGAGATCACGCCACTGCACTCCAGCCTGGGCAACAAGAACGAAATTCCGTCTCAAAAAAGAAAAAAAAAAATATAAAATGTAGGCCAGGCGCAATGGCTCATGCCTGTAATCCCAGCACTTTGGGAGGACAGGAGGTGGGGAGATCACTTGGGGTCAGGAGTTTGAGACCACCAGCCTGGCCAACCTGGTGAAACCCTGTCTCTACTAAAAAAGTACAAAAATTAGCCTGACGTGGTGGCACGTGCCTGTAATCCCAGCTACTTGGGGGCAGCCTGGGTGGCAGAGTGAGACACTGTTGAAAAAATAACAAAAAAAAAAGGAAAATTTATAGTATTGGTAAGAGACCCCATATCAGATGATTGTAATGTTATAACATCAATTTTTAAAAATGTAGCTTTGACTTACTTACTTAATTATGACTGCTGTCATAGGAGAGAAAAATAAGCATATCAACTGTAGTCCATTATTACACACAGTAGTTTAAATGTGAGACTCTCATCTTTATACATATGTAAGAGCCTTTATTCAGGATAAACTTCAGTCCAAGAGTTATAAAGCTCTCAACACTCTGGCTTCTTAAAAGCACCAATAAATTTTTATCAATGAAAAAACAAGTGAAGGGAATACAGATATCCTATCCAAGTGACTGTTTTTTACAAAACTGCACAGTATTCTGCTAAGGCCTATACTGGTAAGGTTACAGAGGAAGTCAGTAAGTGATTGAGGTTACTGAGGAGTCAGCTCCTCTGGTGCTCTCTCCCATCTACCTGATGGGGATTATAGACTTTGATGTCTCAGAGTTAAGTTTCTTTAGGTGGATATTCACAATGCACAGTCACTTAGCTTTTTAATTTGGGGACTGATTTTATATTGCTTTAATCACTGATTTATTTGCTATTGTTTATTATATTATTTAACTTGTGCCTGAGGTAGCGTCTACACTTGGAGGAAAATAAAAGGATGATTAATAGAGAAATATGCTTCACTGTATATTTAGTGATGCATACTTATGTACTGAGATCTATGTAACTATCAAAAGCCTATCAAGTCTCCAATAACGTATTCAAAAGGGAAAAAAAAAAATTTTAGGCTGAGTGGAATTAAAATGTAGCCAATGGAAACTAATTTCAGCATGGAAAAGTAAAAATGAACAAAGTAAAAAATTAATTTCTTTCATTTCATTTGATTACCTATGATCCTCATGATTAATACCATTTATAATGATAAACCCTGCCTTAGAGGAGTGTAACATTAAATAAAATAGTTGAATTAATAATACAACATGTAGAGAACATCTGTAATTTGGCAATATATAGATTTAGACTACTGAGAATTAAATAGGTTGAGAGATAAAGATGCAATTCTAGGCAGGAATACTTGGAAAGGAGAATGTTGTCCAAGGAGATAAACCTATATCATGGCTAAAAAATACAAATGTAACAGAGCTAGCCCAATAAGAAAAAACTAATACAAAAATGTGATTTACAAATTGGCTCAAGTGATAACATAGACTTCATTAAAACCAAATCATTCTACGGTAAATTAATACCATGGCTTTTCCCTTTTTACCCCAATGACAAAATGCTCACATTAGAATCTTATTTATACTTTACTTTTCCCCTAGTTTCTTTCTTCCAAGTATTTGCATATATCTCATGAATCTTTTGACTATAAATTGGCTGATATTTTTTCAAGTGCTCTGATAAATAACTAGTAAACATATTATTTATGTAACTCATGTGATAATAGCATAATCATGCATTTTAGTATAAATTATCAGTAATATTTTGTAGATATGGTCACAGAAAACTAAACTCAATCACAAAATGTGTTTCTTGTGCTATATATAGAATTCTAAATGCTATATATATAATTATTATTATTTTGAGACAAAGTCTTGCTCTGTTGCTCAGGCTGGAGTGCAGAGGTGAAATCTCAGCTCATTGCAACCTCTACCTCCTGGGTTCAAGCAATTCTTGTGCCTTAGCTTTCCAAGTAGCTGGATTACAGGCATGCGCCACGAAACCTGGCTAATTTTTGTATTTTCAGTAGAGTCCAGGATTCGTCACGTTGGCCAGGCTGGTCTCAAACTCCTGGTGCTGGGATTATAGAAATGAGCCACTGTCCCTGGCCTTATTTTTAAAAAAATATTTAGGTGAAATGACAGAAATGCTTTTTGAGAATACAACTTCAAGAGTACAATTTCAAAGGAAATTTGCTGTCTTAAAGGAAACTTTTAAATTTACATATTTTAGCTTTCTGTACTTTTTTAAAAGCTTTTTTATTTGATAGTAATTTATACTTAAAGTTGCAATAAAGAAATAGTATAAGAAATATCTGTTAAGCCTTTAACCAGATCTGCCTGTTATGAACATTTTACCCCTTTTACAAAATTATTGTGTTGCTTTCCTCTTTGTAATAATTTTTTGTCTGATGCTCTTTGCCCCTAAATGTATTAGTGTGCATTTCCTAGGAGTAGGGATATTCTCTTCAGTTGATCTTAGCCAAAAGGCCAAGAAGCAATGGGGATATCTCTTATATAACTACAATACAGTTAACAATTCACAATTTATACACAAACAATGCATCTATCTAATGTGCTATCTATATTTCAATTCTGTCCACTGACCTGTTGTCCCACATAGCATTTTGGTCCCGATAGTACAGGATATAGTTTAGGACTAGAAATTGCGTAAAGCTGTTATTTAATAGCCTCCTTTCATTTGCAATGTTTCCATAGCCTTTCTTTGTCTTATTTTTATTTATTTATTTATTTTTTGAGAGGGAGTTTTGTTCTTGTTACCCAGGTTGGAGTGCAATGGTGTGATCTCGACTCACTGCAACCTCCGCCTCCTGGGTTCAGGCAATTCTCCTGCCTCAGCCTCCCGAGTAGCTGGAATTACAGGCATGCGCCACCATGCCCAGCTAATTTTTTGTATTTTTAGTAGAGACGGGGTTTCACCTTGTTGACCAGGATGGTCTCGATCTCTTGACCTTGTGATCCACCCACCTCAGCCCCCCAAAGTGCTGGGATTACAGGCTTGAGCCACCGCGCCTGGCCTCTTTGTCTTTTATAATCTGCTTATCTTTTTAATCTCACACTACAGGAATATTTTATATTTTAATATGTTATTTTGCCTGGAGAGGAAAGTACTTTTAACATGGGAAAAATTAGAGACACAAAGCTAGGAGCTAGAATTACTTTAAGCAAATTCTCAGAGAAATAACATCTCTTTGTGAGTAGATTACAAAGAAGGGCATGCTGATGGAGGTGCTGGCCTGTGAATTTGGCACAGTACTTAAAGAAGTCCCAGGAATTTATAACTTTGGATTATCTTTTCTTTGGGACATCAGTAAATAAGTATCTCAAATCTTCTTGAAGGCCAAAATTCTTTCTCAAAAACTCAACGGAAACTGCAACAGAAGGAATAGCATTTTGATTTACTTATATTTACAAAACCGGTGTAAAAAAATCAGCCTTTTGCAGGACTGATCATCCTAAACTAACAAACATATGCTAACTTCCCTTTGATGATAACTTTAGCAAAATCACAAACGATATCCTTTTCTAAAACATATAAATACTACTTTATTGAAATAGATTTAATCATTTAAAACTGATTTATATAAATTTTTAATTTTAAAAGCAAAACTTATTGTTCTTATATAAATGGATTATAATAAATGTTTGTATTTTTGTTTTTAACTAAGCAGAGAACAAAAAAGATACACATAAAAAACGTTCACATATATCACTTATTCTCTTACACATTTTAAATATTTTCAGTCTAATGAAGTTAACTGACCTGTGGAATTGTTTAAGCTAATTTGAACTCATTGTTCTGGCCCCAGATTACCTTTCCAGCTCTGTTACCACAGTTTCTCTAATGTAGTGGTTCTGCAAGCCTCTGAATCACCTGGGAACTTGTTAGAAATGAGAATTCTTAGGCTCCTGCCCAGACCTAATGAATCAGAATCTCAGGAGGTGGGGCTCAGGACCCTGTATGTTCATAAGTCCTCCAGCTGATTTGATTGGGACACTTGCTCTCAGGAATCTACACTGGTCTCCCATTGTTGCCAGCAGGTGCAATGGTTATCCCTGCTTTTAATATTTTGATCATGTTTCTTCATTTAGAATAAACTT